ATAAAGCAGTGGCGTAGTATTTTTTTCGCCAAAAATATACATTTCAAAACTCGTACGTACGCCACTGGCAGAGAAAATTAAGAAAATTGTACATCAGAAAATGCGCCTTGAGGCATGGAACATATGTACCAAATATGCCAAAGAGGTCTGAGAATTACCTTACCTTAAATATTAGCATGTGTTTAAGGAACACCCTGTATATTCCAGGTCAAGCTAACGTGAAGAATATACCTCTTGTTAATCCCAAAAACGTTTTGTTACCTCCGTTACACATTAAACTGGGGTTAATGAAAAATTTTGAATGCGTTTGAATTTCTTAAACACATTTTTTCAAAATTATGTGATGCAAAGCTCAAGGAAGGGATATTTGTTGGACAACAAATTAGAAAACTACAAAGTGATCAACAGTTTGATCAAAAACTAAGTAATGTTGAATTAGCTGCATGGAGTTCTTTCGAAAGAAATGTTTGGGAGTTTTTAGGGAACAAGAAAGTAGAAAATTACGAAACTCTTGTAGAAGAACTAGAAAACTACTGTAAAATGGGATATCGCATGTCTTTCAAAATCCATTTCTTGCACTCCCATTTGAATTTTTTCCCAGAAAATTTGGGCGCTGTCAGTGACGAACAAGGGGAAAGGTTCCACCAAGGCATACTGACAATGGAGCAACTTCACCAAGGCAGATGGGATGCAGCAATGATGGAGGATTATTGTTGGTTTCTTATGAGGGAAAACGATTAAACATACAGGGTGTAACTAAATAAGTGTAAAACATTTAAGGAGGTGATTCCTCATCGAAAAAAAGATAGGATCCTATAAAGAAATTTCATTGGAGCATCTCTTGTTAAGATACAGCCCCTTAAAGGGGGTACATAAAATTTGTATAACAATTTTTTTCACAACACTAAAAAAGTTACAATATTGAAATTAACCTGACGTTTTGTACTACCAAAAAGACACTTAGCCAGAAATTTATTTGGTTGTAAGGGGTGAAAAACGCAACCCCTAAAATTTAATTCCAATGTAACTATTTGTTTACCATTTAAAAATTTATTTCCGATAGCCTGTTTCATTCTAAACAAAAAATGTCTCTTGGGTTTTTTGACCAAAATAAACCAGTTTGCAGCAAAAAATTATTTTACGAACAACTACAGAGATACATCGTCATAAATGCGAAAATACAAAACTAATCTATCTAGTAGGTCGCTATCAGCGATAGTGACAATTAAATTGGTATGACGCTGTCAGTTTGTGAATTTTTGAAATTGAATTAATACTAACTATTGTGTGTTGTTGTTCTGTTCTTGATTTGTTATTTTAATAATTCACTTGTTATTAAAATGGCATACACAAATGAGGAAATNAAATGGTAAACAAATAATAAGACAAAAAGTTACATTGGAAATAAATTTTAGGGGTAGCGCTTTCCACCCCTTACAACCATGGGGTAAACCAAATAAATTACTGGCTAAGTGTCTTTTTGGTAGTACAAAACGTCAGGTTAATTTCAATATTGTAACTTTTTCAGTGCTTGTGAAATTACAAATTTTATGTATCTTAACAAGGAATGCTCCAATGAAGTTTCTTTGTATGAAAGATCGTATCTTTTTTCGACGAGGAATCACCTCCTCAAATGTTTTACACTCATTCAGTTACACCCTGTATAAACGAAAGTCAATATTTGCAAAAAGGTTATGCACAAAAGAGTTCATTTGAATTTTTTTTCATGTGTATCGTAAATAAAGTATGTTTTCCTCAAAATATATTGTTATTTTCTTGTTTTGATCTTATATTTCCCTATAATATGTGAAAATTTTTGTAACTATAACTCAAAATCTTTACGTGATGGAAAATTTTTTATGTTGAAGTCGCAGTCAGGATGATTTAAACATGTAAAGCCATTGTAATATTAGTCGCATTTTTTTTGTTTTTGTTGGCTAGTGTTATTTGTGATGTAATCGTCTGATACTTGATGAAAATCAATAAAACATCTAACATTAACATAAGAAAAGGAGAGAAAGTGTACAAACTCATACATATGATGAATAAAATTACCTGTGCCACAGTTTCCACATTTGAAAATGCTGATACATACACATTTACCATATTATATTTTTTTTGTATTTGCCTTTTAGATTTATTTTTAGTGTTTTCATACAGTAAATAATTATTTTTCATTGCAGTTCACATGTGGGTCATTCGAAGCAGATATTTTCACATTCAATCCAGAGAACAAATTCGGCTTGAGATTGGGCAGAAAATTTTACAATCAGTTAATCGACAGAGGTTATCACTTCGAGCTACAGTACAGTCATGCGATAAAAGATTCTACAAGTAGGAAAAATCTGATCCACGCTTCACACTTATTTCATTCTTTCGGCAAATCAAAGAATGTATTCTTTTCCAGTGGAGCTGACTGTCCGATGTACATCAGAAGTCCTTATGATATCGTGAACTTGTATCCTTTTTTACATTCGGAAAGCGAAAACTATTTGGAAAAGGCCTGTATACTATAAAAAGCACCTCACTGCACTCCTAAGTAGACCTTTCTACTGATATTGGGATAACCGCATAAGTGAAAACTACATGTATAATAGTTCATTGCGAATATTTCACATTGACAACTCGATATTTAGGTCAATTCAATGGTTAGTAACAAAGTTAGGAAGCGTTTCATAACAAATACTTCTACTTCTCCATCTTTACACAAAAAAAAAACTGTATATCGTGAGGCAACATACTAAATAATATTATGCCGTTATATGCAAGTGATTCCTTAAATGTCATATGTTTTGAAGTAGTTAATGAATTTCTCTTTCATGTTGCATAGTTATGAACAATTGATTGATGTTTTGCTCCCACAGAAGAATATATTTCAACCCATACGTGAGTAAGCCAATGAATAGTAAACAGTCCTGACAACGTCTAAACTGAAAGCACTTCTATGATCTGTCGTGTTGCAAATATTGCTTAATTCATTTTTTTGCAGCCATGATCGATATGGGGTTTCCAAAACAAGTTTTTATCTATAAAAATACCAGGGAGTTTGGCTGTTTTNATCAACTATACAGGGTGATACAGGGCGTTGAAGTTTAAAAAAACGATATTTATGAAATATCATAAATATCCTTACACCGATTTGCTACAGTTATTTAAAGTCATAAAGCCGTTATTTAGCCCTAACAATATTGAAATTATTAGGTCCATTGGTGTCTCAGTGGGCACCAGAGCCAACAATATTGACAAAAAAGTACGTCACTGACTTGTTGCTGTATTTTTTATAATAATCAACTTAAAATACAACTTTTTCGTCGGTTGTGTTTTCTTCATATCTAGCTTCGTTTTCGAGAAAAAATGAAACCACTTTGCATATCATGAACAACTGCGTTGGTGACAAGCTGACAGTGATAGTGTTGTCATATCAGTGGGAGTAACAACGCCTGAACTAGAAAAAGCTACACTTGATAAAAGGAGATTCTTCGAATAATCATTATACCAGAGCTGCAGGCAATATACGTACTGATCGTTTTCGCTTAACCAAATCACAGAAAAACTCTCTAAATTATAATCTTTACAACCTGTTACCGCAGGAATACAAAATCCTATCAAACAATAAATTCAAGAAGCGCTTAAAAGAATTTTTACTAACAATTCTATTTGTAACAATTTTTTCCAATAAGTTTATATAGAATACTCAATAATGATATTTGCCGTTGAGTTATCTATATCTTCATGTGGACCCTTTTTACAAATAGTAATAACTATGGCTGTTTTGAAGACACTCGGAAACACGCCTTCCATTATAGAGTGATTAATTAAATTCAATAAAATTTCAAATATAGATGGAATGACATTTCAGAACTTTTGTTGTTATATTGACTAAGCCACTCGATTTTTCATTTTTTAATTCGGTCATTGTTGAAACTAGTTCAGTTCTTTAAAAAACATTGTGTATTATTAGTAGGATCACCAAAGCAAGTTAGAATAACATAATGTTTAGTATCAATCTTTGAAACTGGATAGACCCAGTTTAGAGCTTGCTCTTGTAATTGCAAAAATTGAAAAAACAAGCTCTGAGCCAAATGATGCTCTTAAGGAATAATTTCATAAGATATAACACATTTTTTAGGATGAAGAAATGAGCAAAGAACGTTGATATAAATGACAAACCAGAGTGGGTCCATTATAGAACCCCGAAGAACTACATGTATCAGAACTTTTGTTGTTACATTGACTAAGCCACTCGATTTTTTATTTTTTAATTCGGTCATTGTTGAAACTAGTTCAGTTCTTTAAAAAATATTGTATATTATTAGTAGGATCACCAAAGCAAGTTAGAATAACATAATGTTTAGTATCAATCTTTGAAACTGTATAGACCCAGTTTAGAGCTTGCTCTTGTAATTGCAAAAATTGAAAAAACAAGCTCTGAGCCAAATGATGCTCTTAAGGAATCATTTCATAAGACATAACACATTTTTTAGGATGAAGAAATAAGCAAAGAACGTTGATATAAATGACAAACCAGAGTGGGTCCATTATGGAACCCTGAAGAACTACATGTATGAAAGGTCTTATGGGAAAAGCTTTTTCGGTCAATCATTTCAAGTCAAGTGAAATTGAAGTTTTCCATGAATATTCAAATACAAACATTAAGAATGTTTCACTTTTAAGAACTGTACATACTTTTCTTATATTTAATCTAAACCTTGTTTTTTATTTTCAATTGTACTATTATTTTGAGTGGAGTTTTCCTGAACCACATTGAATTGTTATATTTATTTTTGGGCCATAATTTTAATCTAATTCTGTACCATATTCTTTTTTTTTTTGTTTTTCATTTAATGGATACATCGCGAATTCTACTAGCCTAACGTTGAGCTAGCAGAACCCAATCACAAAAAACATTCAGTTGAATCATGCTAAGTCATAATTTAGGGCTCATTTTAGTCTCCTATTGCCCCTATCGGCGATTTTCCATGTATCGTTTTTTTTTAATTCGGGGTTCTGCTAGCTTTATCGTTACGCTGGCATAGCGAAAACAAAATTTTTCATTTTTTTCCAGTATCATCAGTCATTTTAAAAGCTCTCTTTGAACTCCAAAATGTATCATCACATATTGTATCAGATCTGCCTATATGAAAAACTGAAATATAAAGGAAGGTATGACAATTAAAACTAGAATAAAAAAGAAAAAAGCCCAGGTGTAGATGAACACTTTCAAAGTAATATAGTAGTCCGGTCAATTTAGACATTCGAAGCTACCTAAATTCCCACCGAGCTGAAAATCAGTGGGATTGTTTAAAATATGATAATATAAATTTTGAAAGTGCCCATCTTTCCCCTGTATGGACAAAATTTTATTCAAGGTCAAATAAGAAAAATTAGTTTTTCGCGATTTTTAGCAAAACGGTAAGTTTTATCATAAAAATACTCTACACAAAAATTGTAGATCATAAAATTATCTACAAAAAGTGTATCAATACTTTTTTTGATATGAGCCACCCTTTTTGAGATATAACGATTCAAAAAGTTGTAATCGTCATAAGGTAGTGTACTTAGCCCTTTTTTTTTTTAACGTGATTTCCCCAGTAGGCCTATTCAACAGGTCAGTTGTGATCGTGTTCAATTTGAAACTATTGCGAAATAATGGATATTAGCAGATATTGAGAAGATGAAAGCAATTTAAGTTAAAAAAAAGTTGTGAAATTTAATCGTCCGAGTCGTAACTTTCAAATTCTTCTTCTTGTTCTTCTTCTTTATCTTCTTGTTCTTGTTCGTCTTGTTCTTCTTCATCTTCATTATTACCGATGTATCGCATGTCGCCTCGTTGGAATCAAACGGATCCTCCACTATTGGTGAATCAATATTAGAGCTCGACCGGCCTTGACAATGTGTACATGCCAGAGAACAAAACAGTCCGACTTTTTTGCATCCACATTTAGTACTGCACCCCGTTTTGCAGTTGCAAAAAATTGTGATCAGCAGTTTTTCCGGCGCAGGTGGAAGTAAAGTTTGGACTGGTCTAATATAATTGTTGACCAACTTCCAATCCCAGCCTATAGGGTCTAGCTGTTAACCAAGCCATACTTGAACTTGGTAATTTACTCGAAAAAGATGTTGATGAACAGCAACTGAGGTTGGAGGAAGACGAAAATCAAGTAGTTTTCATGAAAGATCTCTAAAACAACGCATTTTAAACTTATCATTTCAAACTTTTTCTTCAGAAAAATTATTTGAATACTTGAAAAAGAGGAAGGAAATAATGCACTCAACATTTAAAGGGATTCGTTTCTATTTCACCATTTGGCAACATCGGTTATAGCTAATAAAGGACAATGAATCTGTTACCTGTATGAGACAAACAAAGATGACGTATTTCAGAGGCGTGCTGTTCTGTTTACTTATGTTCCGAGTTCTGAGACATTCTGTGACATGACATTTTGTGCACCTAACCTATTTTCCTCTATATAAATAAATAACAAAACAACTGTTGTTTATGTGGCTTGTGGAGGTGGTATTGAANCTCTGTCTTTATTTTTACTTCTTTTATTGACTATTCCTATACAATGTATATTGTCTACATGGAAAATACAGTATAATTATTATTATTAAGATGCATAGTAATTCCAAAAACTATACCTTACGTTTTGATCTCCACAAACTTTATGTGAGAAATATCATGACATGTTTCGCTAACAAGTTTATCAATTTCCATTGCTTCCAAATGATTCAGTTCCAAACCTTATTTTCTATGTGTAGGATTTCGAACTCTTCTTTAAAGATATGGTTTTCTTCACAAAGATGATTTGAATAAGTTGAACTTGTTTTCTTATTTATATAGCTCATATTTGAAGAATTACCTGAGGTATCTATCGTAATAGACTATGCCAAATCAAAATAAAATCCTTTATTTTCCTGTTTGACAATTTTATAAGTAATTGTATCAGAAACGGCCAATGAAAGCTAAATTATAAAGATAAATTGCAGTAAATGTACTTGAAATCATGAATATGACCAAATATTAGGTTGTTTTAAAAGTTTCGTTCGCTTTCATGAGTCTAATTTAATCTATAATTTCTCAGTGAATACTTATTCAATCCAATCGAAATACGACATTTGAATCAGTGCACTTTTGCCAGTTTTTCTCTTCTTCTTTTTTATAGCTGTTAATTTTTTGTGTCATTTTCGTATTTGGCTTGTGATGTTGATGTTCAGGGCTTTGAAGATGTTTGTTAATTAACAAAGATGGACTGCATACACATAAACTAACAAACATATTCAAACCCCTGAATTTCAACCTCACTTACAAGCCAACCAAATACGAAAATAACAACAAAAATAAACAGCTACGAAAAAGAAGAAGACAAAAACCTAAACGGAGTGTACAGCGTACAATGCTCGGATTGCAAACTAAGCCAAACTAAGAAAAAACTGATCCAAAGGTACGACGAGCACAAAAAGGCATACATGAACCCAATAACATATAAATTAAACCTCGCAACACACACTATACTAAACAAACATAAATTTCCCCCACCAGAGAACATAAAACTCATAAAACAAGTCAATAAAGGAGACCGTATGGACATCTGGGAAAACAAACATGCATAAATTTAAAAGTCATAATTCCCTTATCAAGGAACAAATACAAATCAAAACACAACAAGACCTAACATTCAATATGCTGCACAATACAATACACATTCCTAAGTGAACCTAGAGAAAATCCAACACAAAGGATATTACCGGATGTAACCCAAATAGAGGTAAATTTACCGGCAGTACCTGCAGTAAGGCGTTCTAACCACATAAAAGAACAAACAAGGAGATAAAACGTTCAGTTTTGAGCCGTCAGATAGAGTGAGGAGAGAGAGAGAGGTCGGACTGGCGCCGTTATGAGTTACGTTTCCAAGCGGTTTATCTTCCCATAAGAAGTTATCACTTCAAAACTCGCTAATCGAATGTAGGTAGACTGCGAATTTGAACATTCACCTTATTTTTTGAATAGTCCACGTATAAAACAATAATTAGGTAGAAAATAGTTTGTATGAACACGCCTGAGGAAGATATTGCGTAGCGAAACACATATTACGGTTTTTTAAACCACCCAGTGAAAATCTTACAATACGTTACGGATTCTCATCAAGTATCGGCCAATTCCATCAAGAATCTACGACATATTTCCCCAGGCCATACCCCCCGTAGCAATTTAGTCTGGTAAACGCATTGTTGACAGGTGTAAGATGAATTTATTGAAAATACATATGAATCCGTTAAAATCTGTCTGTTGAAATCTGTTTTTCCGTTAACTAACTGTCGTCCCCCTACGAACGACAACGAGGTCTTATCTTTCCACGGGCGATTCCTAGCACGGGATTTGGATCTGAATACATCAACATTTTCTTTGCAATGCATTGTAACTAAAGGTTTGACTAATTTCTTGTTTCAGTTGGAAGAAGACACGGCAAGTCGGTGATGTTTGTGGAGAATATCGACAGAGGCACAGAACAGGATGTTATGATGTTAGAAAATAGTGAAGAGGAGGTGGAAATTGACCAGCCCAAACACAAAAAAACTAAAATTTGATGTTTGTTTTAACCTTATTTTTTAATGTCCAAATCTGTCCTGAACCATCACAAATCTTTTTTTTTTTTCTCGAAGTTGAACTGATGAGTATTCATGTGGAAATTTGTATGGGTTGGTTTCCAAGATATTTTTTTTATTTATTGAATTTTTTTAGTTAGTGACTGAGATTAGGTAAAATTTGAACTGGATTTTCGACTACAAGGATACACTACATAATGAAATAAACACGATCAACAAGTATTTTATCGTCTCATCATCATCTTCTGAAGATGATGAGCCAATACTTCATAACTCTTAAGGCAAGACAATTTTCTCTCTACTGAAAAAGTTTACTACCTATTTATTTTCACTGTAGGGATCACAAATTCCGAGTCGATAACCTTCTGAATAATATTTTAATATCAGTAATATAATTTTCGCTTGACATTATAGCAAAAATTTATGAAAAAAATGAAAAAATAAACAAAACTGAAGTGTTATACGTTTCAATTTGAATGTGAACACCTAAGAAACTCTTTAATGACAGCCAACTCAAACTATGAATATGAATATATCTTAAAGTTGCCTGCCTGCCTGCCTGCCAAATTAAAATTCTTCATATATACGATAGATGGCGCAATAGTATCCTTAAAATCCATCTGGTTTAACCAAGTGTCCAGGACTATCTCGAACTGTTTAGAACTTTTTGTTTCGACATATCATGTCCTGCGCAGTTTTCAAACAAACCGGAACAAACTATTCTGAGAAACAAACCTATTATTAAAGTTTCACTTGTTATTCCAAGCAATTTTCATAGCTTCTTTCAGGGTAATTCACTTATTGAAATAAAAATATTTCAAAACTGTTCCTATTCGAATATTCAAAGTCGGGACACAGAAAACATAAGACAAGAGATGCCCATATGGAGCCTTAATTCCAAATCAGGTGAATATTTACATCGAACATCGAGAAAAAAATCGAATGTCTTCCTGTATTTTGAAAGTAAATCAGAAAGAGATCCGATTTGTTTCTCGATTTGAGAGTTCACCTGATCTGAAAGTGAAGCAAACTGAAAAGTTACTGCGTAATATAAACCACTGGAAAGTCCAATTAGTCAGCATTCATAAATTTTGCTTGCACACTGAATAATCAATGGAAAAATTACTTCTATGGCCAGATTTCTTCAAAAACCTTTGAAAATCACTTGTGAAGAGCGTCTCGATAGGAAACAAGTATTTTTTTTAACAAACATCAAAGGAAATATTTATTTTTCAGATTGTAGAGAAGGTTACCAATACAAAAAAACATGAAAAATATTGACTTCTCTACAAAAAAATGTTTTCAAAGAATATTTATCAATCATTATGACCGAAGTAGGATTTGATTGAATACTTCTATGGAATTATTGAGAACTCTTTTCTTTTTTCGAAGTCATAGCGAAGTCTGATGTTTGATATCTTTATTCAAAGTTGAATTGAGTTCGAATTCAGGTAGTGCACTTACTGCCTCTAGAGAGACCATTTTTTAACGAGTATCTCGCGATAGCTGGAACTTTGATCCTGTTGCTAGGAGGGGGAACGATCATATAGATCCACTTTCTATATAAATCGGAAATATTTGCACGTTTTCTTCAATATAACCCAACCTGATCTAATTTTATTCACAATGTAGATCACTCCTGGTTCAATTCAGAATTTCCGAAATGAAAGTCGAAAAACATAAATACTAGCATTCCGTCGGAAATAAAAAAAATAATGTAGCCCATCGAGCCTTTGTTTAAATTGTAACAATAATCAGGAAAATATTTCAAAACAGAAAATGAGTTGTAATAACAACACATTTATCCAAAGTTTCTCCCTTTCTAACACGGGAGTCAAGTTGCAACTGCACGTGGTTTGTTACACAGAACTCATGATTATATCATAGGACTAGAAAGCTTGTGTGTTTATTGGTTCCTTTATGTTGAACAGATAATGAGCATGAACATCCAATCCTTATTTGAGCAATGAGTGCTAATTTAATTTATATTTCAATATTTAGCTATGTGGTACGATGTTTTTGGATAAATAATAATAATGACTTCTTTAGGTGAAGTGAAGGAGTATAGTAGAATGCTGTTCTTAACATTCCAAGAAATGGCGTGACATCATTTAATTTTAGGGCTTAAGTAAAATGAATGTAATATTTTAGGTTCAGATCTCTATTGACTGAGCATATCCATTTTAAGTGTAATCTCATCTTTGGAGTTGTATTTTTGTTGTTGTTAGAAGACAATGACAGCTGATAATCTATTCACATGAAAATGGGCCGCTCAATCAATATGATAGTTATTTTGCGAATTCCGATTCGCAGGAAAAATGTGAATATTCGAATAAGTAACAAGTCATATAATTATGAGTTCTGTGGTTCATTGTCCATCACATAACTGAATAACGTTTCAGGTCATTCTACTGTTGAACCCTTTTTTCACAGAGTAGGTGTGTCCGTTCAATTCAAATCTGAGTTCTCGATTAGCTGGCTTCAATCGGCAAGCCTTCGATAATAGAGATCTGTTGTCTCAGGTAAATCTGTTCTGTGTGTCGGTAGTTACAAGAGCGATGATAAAAATGTTATCGTATTGACCTTATTAAGTGATGAGACCCCCATTTTTGGTAAATGAGAAACTGATTTCCAGAATATGGCCGAAAAGAGATTTCCAGTCGTCCTATATGAAGTTGGGGCTCCAGAATGAAGAATCAGCTAAGAAGAAATGTAAGATGGTTTGTCCCAATTATGTCCCAAAAAGGAAAATGCAGAAGGAACTCAGAAAGATAGGTTATAACTGACAACCGAGTATCAAAGTGTTTTAGTTCTATGACTGACAACCGAGTATCAAAGTGTTTCAATACATTAATTGAAATTTTCTACTTGAATTGGATACTAGTTAGATTTTTGAATATTTACAATATGTAAAATATAATAGGCATTACTATGGTTCCAAGGTTCTGAACTTCGAGTTCTATGACTGACAACCGAACAAACTAATGAGTTTTCATTTATTATATTTTCAAATAAAGCTCCCTTGGTATATTTTAATCAACGGACTTCATTTTGGACATGGTTTTCTTTTGACTCTACTAGATACCTTTCAGGGATGCACTCACATGGAAATTTGTTTTATATTTTGTGTTGAAATCGACTTCTTTATTATTTTAGGTTTCCAAGTTTCACGGTCAGTGCTGTTCAAAAATTTTATCGGTAATTATGTAATTACATTTCATATTCGAGAATGATTGTCTGTGTACAGGCAGATTGCAAATATAGAAATATTCAGTAAGTACAATGGGCGAAACAAAATTCAAATGTGGCGGGCGATTAAGCTAAGAGGGCGCAACAGTCAATCACAAGCGTAATGATAAAATGGAGTCTCGTTTCTACGTGCAGTTTGTACACAAGATATAATTAATCCGTTTCTTGTATATATTCAGTATTAGACATAACAATAAATCAAAGCTAATGTGATTACCGTAACAAAATACTTCGGAAGTGCAAAAAGACCGTGATAAAGTGAACATTGGATTGTGATTAAAGCGACAATATATAGGATCAACGTTGTTCATGCTCCATGGTAAGTTACTTTTGTTTTCTGGATAAACGTGATAACATTTTGGCATGCTTTTGTTTATGAAAGAAATGTCAATGAATGAACAATGGTTCTTGAGATCGTACATTTTCTGGTTATATTGCAAATTGCTCGAATCCCAATCACCTATTGGCTCTTCGAAAATCAACATTTCTTCATATCACCTGATTGGTTGTGTTTCGACAACTAAATACTGAACCGTATTATTCTAACCAATTAAGTAGTCTCTTTTCACTCATTACTAGTGTAGGGTATTTATGTGATATCGGAAAATTCATTTTGACTTATGAACTATAGAAAAAAATAAGTGGTGAGTAGCGATTTCCGCAGATTGATTGTTTTTGGGTTATGACTAAAACAGTAGTAACGGGGTTGACCTTTGATAGACACCGCGATGTCGCTAATTTCGTACCCAAGCGGTGGACATCTCAAATGGCGGTCGTAAGGTTCATTGTTCTCTACGCCGGCTAGATTGATAAGTCGTCGGGGCGACTTCTTATCAATCCTAACCGCCTCGTGTCGGAGAAAAATAGCCGAAGATTCGATCCGACATTTCTTGAATTCGACGATCGAATTCCGAACTCTCTTGTTTTCATTAAGACGGCTAAGCTTGCCTAGATCTACTAATCAATTCTGTAATTACCTTGCATCTTCTGTTTCTGTTGCAATTATCAGTAGCAGAGGTTGCCTGGATATACGATATCAGTTCGACTTGACGTTGAAGTAGGTATTTGTCAATCTAGATTTTGTGCATGCATGCTTTATTTTTAGGTCGCCTTTATTGATTTTAATTGCTGATTTTGTGGCGGGCATTAATATAATTGTCTCAAAATTGATGCATTCGATTTCTATCTGTCTTTCTCTATAGTCATTGGGCCCGGGGGGTGAGAAGTTGTACTGCTCATGGTTTTTTTGTACGCATAAGCGTATAGCTTTTCCCCTTTGGTTCTGATGTTATCTGCGTTTTCCACGGATCCTGAACTAAGATAAATCTATCAATGAGTACGAGATCGATGATTGCATTTATTTATTGTGGGGGTTGAACGAAAGCGCTGACTGTTGTGATGAAATTTTCTGGTTTTACGGAGCAAGTTCTTCAAATAGGTACCTGTGAAGAGTTTACCTGAATATTTATTTAGTGCTCCTACCTACAAGGCCTAGCAATTATAATTGTTGTTATAATGATTATGACACACCTTTATTTAAGGATGTGGGTAATATATTTATGAATGTTGAATTTTTATCACAAAAAACTATCAGGTGATACGTGAGTAACATTTTCAAGAAAGTGAAATTTGTGTTGATTCACCCAAGTAGGTACAATTTTTATCTTTTTTGTTACAAAGTAGTGTCACAATTATTTGAAAAAAAAATTAAAGCTTTGGTGAAAAATAATGATACACCAGATTATTATCAGGAGAG